TACTACACATGTTGTCCACTAACCAGACTTGTCCTTAGTGAGCCAATTAAATAAAAATATTTGGGTTGCCCTCTCTCTCTCTCTCTTAAACAATAGAAAGCTAAAATTAAGTCCCCCTCTTTGGTAAGAAGAAAAAGTAAAAGTTAAAATATCTCTATTGACAACACTAGTCCTTCCTCTCATTGCCTACCAAGTGTAACACATCTGCCTTCTCTCACACCAACACACATAATTTTTTTTTAAATAAATTAATTTTAAATAAAAAAAATTTAATTGTATAAATAAAAATGCCTCATTTGATGTTATCTCTTCAGGCTTTAAATTACCTTGAACTACTCTTGTTCACATGGGTTAGGGGACCCTAGGTCATGCTCAAAACTTTCCAAAAGATAAATATGTTGAACATTTTTTAAATATATGATTCCACCCAATCTTTTAGTTTTGTATAGGTCCATACAAAAATTCCTATGAATTACGTCAGAAGCAAGCCCACGCAAGTTTCAGATACATTAGGTGTCATTTTGTATTTTTTTTAGAACATTACAAGATTGTTTTGATTTTATATAAAAATTCGGATTGTTACATGCTTATTTTTTTGTTAAAAAAATATGATCAAGACATTAAATGATAAAATATTTGAACTAACTACATACATTCGTCTGATGAGATTTTTCTAACCACACTAAATTGGGGGATGCATCGAGAGAGTGGGAGAGATATTAAAAGAGAAATAACGATTTACGATTGTACTTTTCTTTAGTAACCCCAACGATATGTGAATTGCCTTTATTTGAGGTTTAATGAGTGGGCGACAACACTAGTTATATATATATATATATATTTGCAACTCCCAACTCTTGTACCCATTATTTTTTTTTAAAAAAAATCATGTTTTAATAGTGAAAGTAACATTGATTCGATTGATGTTGGTTCTATTAACTTGTTTCAGCCATTGTGGTAGAGGCTAATAATCTATAATATTGGCTGAGAAAATAATTTTCAATATCGAACAATTAAGATTAATTATACACACTCTTCTTGATTTCCACATTTATAAGACCATGTATAGTCATAGAGCTTATGAAAAATACTTAACTAGACTGTGTGGAGAATTTTTGAATGGATTTAATGCACAAGGTCACCATGTATACCCAATGAGAAATTATCACAAAATTGGCTTGTGGAACAAATAAGTTGATTTTTAAAAAAAAAAAGTTATGACAGAGGGATCAGTGGCAACTACTCATTAGAAATGCATAATATTTTATTAGTGATGTATATCACCTGCTATTGTGATATTTGTGTGTGTGAGAGAGAGAGAAGGGGGGGGGGGGGGAGAATGGTTGGTAGGAGCCGGTGACAAATTCAACAATGGAAAGTGGTCGGAGCCACAGAGGAAGCATCGAAGCAAGTAGGTTGAACTGACTTAAATCCAATTTGAATAACTTAATTAAACTACATTTTAACAACTATTTTTTTGAATAGTTATATATAATAGATATAATTCAAATCAGACAACAATCATGTTAAAAAAAAAAATTGTACAAAATCTAAATATACTATTAATTAATTAAATAATCAGGTAAATTTATAACAAAATTAGATTATTTCGGATTAATCTTTCTAATTTTTTAGAATTTTAACTTCACCTTTATTGAGACACAACTCGTCTTTTCAATATTTAACTTATAGACTTCAATTATAGTTGTAGTCAATCTCTATTCACTTGTAATTTCAGTATTCATACAATAGTCTTGTGCTATTAGTAATATCAACCAAAGGTCTATCGGTTGATCCTTAGGGAAATTGCTGAGATTGTTCACCGATGCCAACATGGCGGATCAATCAATGGAACAAATATGCACACTAGCCCACCGAGATTTTTTTTTTTTTTTGTAAATTATATGTATATATTTATGTTTTCTAAACATTTCTTAAATAAATTTTATCTTGTGCATCTTATCGTATTTTTGCTCAAATAGTTTTTTTCTAGAGAACACAAGTTACGACTTGTCTTGAATAATTAAGGTTGGGCTCTCTCTCTCTCTCTCTCTCTCTCTCTCTCTCTCTCTCTCGTGCACACACATTTTTTGGGTCCAAAATGGGCTATTTAATAATGCACGTGTTATAAATTTATATATTCACACTCATAGTGACAATTTCTATGGACACATCTTGCACTCAATAGGACCTTAGTCTAGAAGGCCACCCTTGTCCCTTGATACTCCCAACTAGAAGTTCAAGGAGTCAATCTGATTGATCTTTTATGTGTCTCTCTTTTTTAGAATTGTATTATACTCTTCTTTGTCATTCTTTTTACGTGTTTTGTTCTATCCTTCTTTCAGACTAGTGTTTCATTCAAATTTTATTGTAATAATCATATGAGCAATGCTATTGGGACCTAATTTATTTACCTAATTTGCTCACCTAAATCACTATGACCTTTGGATTGAGTGTGAGCTTCATCAAACATTGGAACTTGATGTTAGTCCAATGATTCTAATGAAGTCACGTCATTAGGTTAGAAAATTATGTCAAATGTTTAAGTCTAAATAGCATTTTCCTAATCATATACTTGTAATAAAAGTTAGAGACATCTTGGTCTTGTACTTGGCATGGTTCTCAATAGTAAATAAATGTGGAGTTACACAAATATAACTTCAGAATTGAAAAATTAAAAATTAGAACAGTTCGAGGGCATCTCAAAAGTGCCAACTTCTAAATATTTCTTGCTATGACTCTCCGTGATTTAGTGCTCTGTACTGACAAGAATTGATGTTGTGTAGTACAACTCTTCTAATAGAATGCTAATAGATTCATGAACACCCAATCATTCTAGCTTGCTAATATATTCATGAACCTCAACCTGAATTACACAGTCTTCAATTTTCAAAATATCAAGCATTAATTGTTCTGAGAAATCCGGGACCTAGATCAAGTATATTCAGTCCACCCAGAAACAGTCAAGAAAAATAGTGAAAATAATCATCTCTTAGACTCATACAATCCCAAAAACTCATGAAAAAGAAGTGAAATTAGACAAAGATGAGTTACCTTGTTTCCCTTAAAACCCTTTTTCAAAAGTTGCTATGGCACATGTCAAGAACGATCAGTCATCCCACGGGGAAGCGATTTGATTGATTTTATATTTTTTGTTTCAAATAGTCGTAAAAAAGAATACCCTCCATGGGCTAAGGGAACCTGTTCTTCCCGCTTGGTTCGACGGTCAAGACCGATAACGTACTTGCTGTTGTGTGATTCCACATCACCGGGAATGACTTTCTAAGAAAGAAAGGTTTGTTGAATTGTAACTTCATACATTGACTTTGTATTCATCTCCTCTTGCAGTTGGTGCAAAATTTGGATTCCAACCACTTGTACCTTAAAATAACAGCAAATATGCATTTAAACCCTACTTCTTTGCCACTTTCCAACAGATCCCCAAAATTCCAGTGGCTTATCCATGTCATATTGTCATTGCTAGTTGGTATACCACAGCGCATGGTTGATGACTCCATTTAACATGCTTGGTCTTATTTTCCATCATTGTGCTCAAAGGGCCAAAAATCTAGCTTGTTCTAATATGTTCTTACCAGTATAAACACAACAAACAACCAAGCCTCGGATCTTAGAATGCACAAGCGAAGGCACAATAAAAGATATTGGTGACACTGTACTCTTAACGTTGAACTCATTTGGAGTACATTATTCCTAGGAAGAAAGTAGCTATATAAACCACGTTCATATACTCTCTGCATCAAAAAAAAAATACAATTTAACCATAGTAGAGAGGTGGATGGAAGAAGGGAGGGAGAGGTGAGAAGGGGCAGCAGGAGAGGAAGTTTCTTTACTTTACTGGTAATTCCGTATTCACTGTGATAGCAAGAATTTTTGCTAAAATATCTCCAACTCAATCACAATCGTATCAATTTACTTACGCACATAAAAGTCTAAAATTTCTCCTATATAATTGACTCCTTACATTCTTAAAATCTCTCCACCTATAATTGTTCACGTTTATTTTTTTTTTATATTTTTATTTACCTTATTTTCTCTCCACCTATTATTTTTATTTACCTTATTTAGTTCCGGTTATCATAGTGAGAGAGAGAGAGACAGCGAGAGAGAGAGAACAAACAAAAGTGGAGGGATCCATACACGAAGCGTCAAGTGGGAATAAGTGGGTTGAAGTTGCCTGAGTCCTGACCCCAAAGCATTGTAGATTAATATTTCATATTTAAATTTATTAAAAACTAAAATTGGTACCTATTCAATTCGAATAACTCCATTAGGCAGAATTCTAACAACAATTTCATCGTATATTTGTATGTAATTGACATAATATCAATCAAACCACATCGTATCAAACATTTGAATATACGAAGTCCTCATAAAAAAATTGCTTTTATATTAGCGATAAAATAATTTGGTGAATTTACAACAAAATAAGATCATATAGAATCGATCCTAATATTTGCAAATAAGTAGACACAATTGAATGATAATTAACCATTTGCATCTTAACTTGACTTCAAATGAATTGCAATTAATCTCTATTTGTTTATAATTTTCAATACAGTGCTTTTTTCCACATCACAATCTTATCTTATTAGTTGTATCAACCAAAGGTATGTGGCTTGATGTTTTTGGGAAATTGGATTCCTCTCGAGGTTTTCCTCAAACCCAGTCCCCCTCAATTCTTAATTCTTCAACTCAGTCAGTTTTCAACTTATTTCTCAAACCTAGTTTTTTTTTTAAAATGTCATTTGAAATGATGATTTAAAGTTGAATTTTTTTTACTCAAAATGTCATTCCTAATGACGTTTTCTAAAATGAATTTTCAAACGGCTATTAACGGCCATCAAAAAAATTGGAGGTAAAAAACGTCATTTGCAATAACATTTTTAAAACCTTAATAAAATGTCATTTACTTAACATCTTAGATTTTTTAAAACAAGAATCACTCTCTATCGCATCTCTCTCTCAAATCACTCTCTTTGTTAGATCCCCTTTCTCTCGACCAAATCTCTTCTCTCTCGCTTAGATCCCTCTCTCAGATCCCCTGTCCTCCTCTTCCGCCATCCAGTCGCAGCCGCGCATCTTCTCCGACGAGGGGCATCGATTTTGCATCCTTCTCCAACCACTAAGTCAGACTCTTCTCCGACAAGGAAGCCCAGTCCGTCAAAGACAAGTCTGACGAGGAAGCCTTGTCTGACAAAGAGGAACACTTCGGCAAACAAATTTCTCCGGTGATGCTCTCTCCATTTCTTTCGGTATTTTTCACCCTCTATGTGTTAAAATATACTTCATGTATACTAAATGTATGGTATAGTACTGGAGTTTGAGATTTATCATATATTAGTTTCAATTCATTTCCTCTTTCTTGGTTGGATCCCTTTTGGTTGCCAAGAGAACCCATTCGAATTTTCCCCTTTCTAACTATTGTTGGTTTCCATTTGCTCTATAAAATGCGTCTCTCGGGGGAATTAGTTTTATTTTTTCTTTCCTAACGGATTGGTTGGTAAAGTATATCATACATAAATGCATGGATACAAATATGTCTATTTGTCTCTTTGGTATGAAATTTGGGGAGTCGAGTTGAACAAGATAGCCACAATTAGAGAACTTTTAATTTTGAAGAAATGTTGCTTGGTAGATTAGTATTGAAAGATAAAAGAGTGAACCATTTTTTTTTCTGGTGGGTATATGGTGGGTCTATTTTTATTAGGTATTAGCCCCCGTATAAGAATTGCAAGAGTTTGGAAGGCTCACAATCGAGATGCATTTTTCCGGTTATAGGTTTTTGCTGGGTTTTTGTTCTTAAATGATCTGACCACTGGATTTATTGAAAATTTTGTGTACTATATCTGTAATTTCATGTTGATTATGTAGATGAGTTTTCTATGATTCATTTGTTTTATGGGTTTGTTGGGTTTTGTCATCAAATGATTTTGGTTTTATAGTTACATAGATTCATTTGGTTTTATGGCTGGGGTTAACATAGATTCATATGTTATATGGTTTTGCTGGGTCTTGTCATCTAAGTCAGTGGAAAGCATTGGACAAAACCAATGACTTTTGGTTCCTTTATATTCAGTCTTTGCACATATAAAACATGCATGATGGAACCACATTTCTGATCACCTTCCTTAATGCGTCATCCAAATTTAAAAGAATAGGAAAAAAAAAATTGCTGAATGGATAAAAACCCATAAAGATCTAGAAGGTAAACCTTCAAAAATGGACTTTTATTCATGATTTATATCCATTCGAACAAAAGGGGACATAAGATACATTCACATGACAATTTGACATCATCTCAAATATTCACAAGTTGAAGTGCCAAAAAGTACTTGATACAAAAGCCCAACTAGGATATAATCTATGTAACTTTGAACTTGATAAAAGGTCCAGCTCATTGCATTCAAAGTAAATAGAATTCATATGGACCATCACTATCCCAAAACATGATTAGAGAGTATTTGTTTGTGTATGTATAATATGGATACACCAATTTACTTGCCAAAGGAAATGCACATATCTAATTATGCTTTATTACTTGGCTAGCTTCTAGAACTTTGACGGCAGTAGTTCTAATGAACTATCTCATCAAGAATAATAAAAGCAATAAGAGAGCACAATCAATTTGCCAACCGCTAAACATGATTAGAGAAATATGAGTTGTTTGGTCTTATTTTATGAAAAATATTGTGTTTGTTTGAGTTGGTTTATGTCTTGCCTAATCATAAATGACTCCCACTCTTATGTCACCATATTTCTTTATTTTCTTCTTACTATTTTAAAGACTTAATCTTTTTTATCTCTTCATTTTGTTTACATTTTATTATTCTTGTCCCTAAATAATTCAAAGATACCCAGACAAGAGTCTCTTTAGGATATGTAGAAGCCAGTTTATTTTAAGTTCTATACTCCCTGCAGGATATGTAAAAGCAAGTTTATTTTCATATTTGTTTTCGTATGGACTCTTTGCACTCCTAATCATGCTCCAAGTCACATGTTTCTCCTCCCTCTCCCCAAGAGAAGAGTAGAAGTCAGGGCCTCTATCTATGCAGAGTGGTCTTCTGTATTACTTGTCTATCTTGTGTGAATTTTCTAGCTATTTATTTACAACAACATTCAACATGCTAAAAACATACATTCCCAACACTCATTATGCTCAAATATGTAGAAATGATCGAAGTATTCCCCTAACTCTTCCAATGATGTAGTCAAAGCTTCATCTAGAGCCAATTGTGAGTCAACACTTTCAGCCAGTGAAGATTCACTGTCTTGTCCTGAAACGTGACTATGGTTATTGCTTTTGACCACAATCAGAACTTATTCCCTTGTTCTTGGCATTAGCTTGAATTGACTGGTAAGATTCCAAATTTTTATTGTGGCCTATGGAGTTGACTGAGTACGAGTTAATTGGTTGTCTCGTAAATGACATCTAATGTATTTTTGTGATATCTTTATTGTAGAATTGTTACGAATGGCTAAAAGACGTGCCTCTGTGGTGGTTTATTGGGGTGGTACCATATTCAACAACCATGATATTTTACAATATGATAATGGTTATAAGCGTGTGATCAAGGTTGCTCATGACACAACTCACTCGGCTTTGGTAGATAGGTTGCATGATGTGACGGGGATAGATATGAATAAATACAACCTCAAACTTATCTGTAAGTTTCCTACTACATTGGGAACTAACCGTTTTACATATATTCTAATAGAAGTTGTTGACAACGATAGTGTAAAGGCGATGGTGGATGTTGTATTTGATAATCAAGGTGTTAACAAAGTGGATTTGTACATGAGTGAAGAGGTTAGGGCAGATGACATTGGTGGAAATAATGAAGGTTGGCTTGAGGGTGGTTCATACTCTTGCATGCTCAGCCAACAACCATATATCCCAGTGCTCGACTATTCTGTTTATGGTGGGTAATTATTACACCCCTTTAACAATGTAGTGTATGGAAGAATACAATCGATATACAGATGCACAGTTTGAAATAGGGCCTAGTACTTTTCCTGAATGCTCATCGCAGCAATACTATAGTGTTACACTAGATAACGAGATGATGTAAATGATTGTAGTGACCCTGACACCGGCGCTAGTGGACCCTGTCCAAGCACTTGTATTGCATTAGATTGATAATAATACATATGAAGGAATGTGTGCTAATGATCGGAATGATTATTATGAACAAGAAGAATTGACATAAGATTTATTGAGTGAGGACCCTAATGATGATGATTTCGATGCCGAAGGTAATTTTGTTGAGGATGATGGTGAGGTTCCTATGCATGAGCCAGAGTCAACATTTTTCTCAAACGTTAAATCGAGAACCCATAATGAAGTTGATAGTTTATGCCTTTTGCATAGAAATAAAACATGGGATCCTACAAGACTAGAACTGACGAAGGGTATGGTGTTCACAAGTAAAAAAGAGCTGAAGATGACTGTTAAATTGTATTCAATTAAGATGCACCAACAATATGTTGTTGTTGATACAAACAAATCATGCTAGGTTTTGAGTTGTAAGATGCGTGTACAATGTAGATGTAAATGGAGGCTACAGACAGTTTTGAAGGCGAAACATGGAATGTTTGAGATCATAAAATATCAGACACCTCACACTTATTTCTACTCAAGGTTGAACCAGGACCACTATCAGCTTGATGCAGGTTTTATTTCTCAATGGATTGAGGGTGTAGTTCGGGGTACACCTGATGTAATAATGTATGTCATCATTGAAATGGTGAAAAAAGAGTATCAATATTTGATAACATACAAGAAGGCGTGGAATGCGAAGAATAAGGCTATAGCCAAGGTTTTCGATGATTGGATTATTCTTACAACATCTTGCCGAAATTTATGGGTGCTCTTGTGAAATACAACCTTGGGATGATTATAAAGTGGCAATATGAAACTTGTGCTCCCTCACATAACATATTTGGAAAGGTGTTCTAGGCATTCAAAGCTTCTATTGATGAGTTTGTTCATTGTCAGCCTATAATTAGCATCGATGGCACATTTGTAAATGACAAGTATAAGCATAAGCTTCTTATTACTACTTGGATTGACGCTCAGGAAAAAAATTTGTTTCTAGCATTTGCCTTTGTTTATGAGGAGACCAGTGAAAGTTGGGGTTGGTTCCTATATCATCTACGACACTCCATTGTGCTGAATTGAGCTGGTATATGCTTAATCTCAGATCGACATAAAGGTATAATCTCAGCTGTTAAGAAATCTGATTCTGAGTGGAATGAGCCATATGCCTATCATTGTTTTTGTCTTAGGCATGTACAAAGTAATTTCAATACACATTACAAGAACACGTATTTGAAAGATCAAGTGTGGAAGGCTTGGGCAACAAATCATATTCATAAGTTTAATTTGATAATGGAAGAAATTAAAAATATAGATCCATTGGCAAGGAAGTGATTAGATAATATTCTAGCACAATAGTGGACAATTGCCCATGATGGTGGTCAGCGATATGGAACAACCACAACCAATATTTCTGAGGTGTTAAATGGTGCATTGAAAGGTGCTAGGATGTTTTCCATCACTGAATGTGTTAAATTCATATTTTATCGGTTTGCAAAATACTTTTGTGAGCGCCGTGAACATGTACAACGATGCATAGACAATGGTATGAAGTACTCACCTGAAGCAATCGAATTTATGCAACCCAACCAGGTCAAAGTAGGAATGCGTACTGTTATACCATTTCACATCTGACGTGAAATTGCAGAAGTGGTCAGTAATAACGGTAATACACATGTTATTTGTATTGATGACCGGATATGCAGTTGTTAGAAATTTACAATTTATAAAATGTCTTGTTCTCATGTTATGGCCGCATGCTCACACTTCCATGTTAGTTCTTGGAATTTAATCGATCCAGTATATAGCATCCATGCACTTGAATCCACTTGGGCATCAGATCTTCATCCTCTACACCACCAAAATTATTGGAATGATACCAATGACCTTACATTATGCCCTGTTTGGTTGTTGCGTCGAGGAGTTAAAGGACGTCCATAGACATCGTGCATATGGAATGAAATGGATTTTTCGAGAGAATGGCGCAAGCAGAACCACTGTAGTATTTGCTTGCAAGCAGGGCACGATCGCCGAACTTGTCCAGCAAAGAACCAATCAACTTCTTCAATGGTTCATCTACTATAAATGTTACTTATGCTTTCTAATACTTTACGTAAGTTGCGTTGCATTATTTATTGTTCAAACTCATTATTCAGGATATGATATTTTTTAACGTTACTAAAAATGTTAAAGT